GCAATCAGATGGACCCTTTCTCAGAATAATGTTATTAATTGCATGAAATACAAAGATTACAAAGGAAACTATACTGAAATAGTTACCAATATACTTAAAAACTAAGTACACCCGAACCCCAGACATAAAGGAATGTCTCCAAATGACCCATCCAATTCAAGATGAGCTCCTTCCCAAATTGCCTAGGGACAGCTGTTCTTTTCCCCAGGCCCACATAGTACTCCCCCTCTGGAATGCCCCTAATCCTCTCTCCTCTAAAATTGGGTTCCAGTCTCCCTCTCCAGGCATACCTCCCACTACTTTCCCCTCCCACTTCCATGGACTCTCTATTTCAGTCAATCTGGATAGCTCTCTTCTGCGTCTTCTGGTCCCCTCCCCCAAACACAGCCTGTCTTTGTCTTTGCTCATGTCAATATTGCCCCCAAACTCTGCTGTTTGTCAGCATGCTCCTCAAGGCCCAGATCAAAGGCTTCCTCTTCTGTGAAGCCTTCCCCAGTATTTTACCCTGCCCCCATCAATACCACTCCTTCCAGAGCATTCCATAGTCCTCTTAGGCCTTTATCAATTTCTATCATATTTTTCTATCCTTTCCTTAAAGTCCTTATCCAATGCCTCACTGGGCCATGGAAGTGATCCCTAGGTTCTCAAAGGTTTTGCCGCTGAGGTGAAAAGCTCTGGCTGGGTTGTACCAAGCTGGAAAGTCTAGCAATTTAGTCAGTCTGTCAACAAGCATTTATTAGGCACTTATATGGGAGGCACAAGCTAAGTGCAACAGATACCAGCAAAGGCAAAAACACAATCTCTGCCCTCGACGAGGTCATGTTCCAATGGAGGAGAGAATATGCAAATAAGTAGGCATAGACTATATAATATAAATACTATCTAGTTATAATTATTCTGTATATAGTATATGGGAGATAATCTCAGAGGGAAGATGATCGACTATGTGTCTCTTTCATCTGACAACCAGAATAACAAAGCATGGGGAAATATATCATGGAAAAGTTTATCATAAGAAGATTGGCCAACACCGGAGGATGACTTTTTCTGGCTAAAGCAATTTACAAAACCATCTGCTAAGGATCTGAGATCTCTGTCCACACTGATGACATCATAGTTCCCTAGAAGTACTGAAATAAATACACTACTGGATTATAAACTGCATTATGGCAAGACTTTGGTTAGCTATACTTTGTAACCTCATCTCCCTGATCCCAAGGATCAGAGCATAGGGTTTTGCACATAATAGGCACTTTATAAATGTATGCTAAAAGCTATGGAATGTTCAAGAACAAATCCTAGCCATTCTTCAAGGACCCCCTCCTCCATGAAGCCTTCCCAGATCTTTCTCTCCTCTGAATTTTCTATAGCACTTAAGTCTTATCACACGTTTTAGCACACAATGACTAGCCAGATTGAGTTGCCTATAATTATAATTAATATTAATAAAATTAATATTAATTTAATTCTTAATGTTAATACTTAATGCTAATTTATTTTAATAGTATTGTAATTTATTATTTAATAATAAAATTAACAATAATTAAGTCACTATTGATAAAAATTATTAATTAATAATATTCTTATAGTTAGTATTTGTGTAGAAGTTTGAAGTCTACGAAGTACTTTATGTGTTATTTCATTTGATCCTCATAACAGTCCTGAGAGGTAGGTCTCATTTGACAGAAGAGAAAACAGGCACACAGAGTTAAGTGACTTGTCCAAGATCACACAGCTAAGTGTCTGAGGCAGCATTTGTTAACTCAGGTCTTCCTAACTCCAGGTCCAAAACTCAGTCCATTGCACCACCCTGTAGACCAAGTGTACAAACTCCTTGAGGTAGAGACAGCATACATCCACGTACCAGATCTTATATTTCTTTTCCTTCCCTATGTCATACCTACTTACGGCATACAGAAACTTTTAAGGAGTGGCCGTGGCTGGAAGCCATTCAAAGACAGTTCTTCACTGGGTGGGGGACAGGTGAAAAGAGGCAACTTAGCAGAACCCCCTTGAAAAAGGAGATTTCTCAGTGTTGCTCAGAGATAGCTTATTGCTTATGAATTATAGGAGTTAGAGCTAGAAAGGACCATAAAACTTAATGATGGAGCTAAAATACAAGAACATAGAGCATCAGAGCTGAAATGAACCTCAGAACATAAAATGTCACAACTGGAAGAGACCTCAGAACACAGAATTACAGAAATGGAAGTGATCTTTGCACATAAAATGCTAGAAGCTGGAAGAAATCTGAAAGACCATCTGGTCCAATTCCTTCCTTTACTGGGGCATAGAGAAGGCCAATGATTTGGCCAACATCACACAAGGTATAGGCAGTGGAGCTAGAATGTGAACCAGGTTCCCTGGCTCCAAATTCAGTGTTCCCAGATTGCCTAGTAATCTAGCAGACAGCCTGAGGTACGCAGACTCTCTCTCCTGGCATCCCCTAAACAACCATATCAGTCGTTGGATGGAAATAATCAGAGTATAGTGGTTATCCAGTACTTTATAAATGACCTCACGTTAGGTATTTGTGAATTGGATACTCACAACTACCGTCTGGGGTAGCTATTACAGATACTGCTATTATCCCCATTTTACAAATGAAGAACCAACGTCAGGGAGAGGACAGACTTTTTGCCTGGTGACTTAATTCCACTTAGTGATTAAAGTTACATTTGAATCCAGGTCTTTCTGGCTCCAAGTTCAGAGCTCTTTCCCTCTAAAATTAGGGGTTTATGGAGGCTTAGCTTCTAGCCAAGAAGGGAGAGAAAGAAAAGAAGCTTCATCCTTCCTTTAGGGATCAAATCCCTAAAGATGGGGAACCAGGGAGCAGGTGGGCAAAGGAAATTAAGCCTTTAGAAGCACTGAAGGACAAGTGAGGGAGTATCAAGAATAGGAAAAAAGAAGGGTGACTGGCCCAGGGAGGAGAGGTTGTGAGCATGGGATCCCAGAAAAAGCCATGTATTTTTAATTCCTCCCTCCCCCAGACTGGAATAGTACACCACTGCTGTGTCACTTTGAATGAATATAATAGCCGAATAATTCAAGTTTTTCTTCTGGAGGTTGCCAAGTGAGTCTGCTAGGTGGAGAGAGCAGTGGGTATGGAGTAAGGAAGACTGGAGTTCAAATCCAGCCTCAGAAACATACTAGCTGGGTGACCCCCCCCCCCAGGCAAGTCACTTAACTTCTCTCAGCCTCAGTTTTCTTCCATTGTAAAATGAGGATCATAGTAGAACATATTCCACAGGGTTGTTGTGAGGATGAAACTAGAAAATATTTGTAAAAAGTGCTTAGTCAAGTGCCAGGACATAGTAAGTAGGTGCTTAATAAATGAGTTCTCTTCCCCTTCCCTCTTACCTCCAGATAGCCCAGGAGAGTGTAAATACTATTTTTTACCTCTACTTTACAGAACAAGCAACTGAAGCTCAGGAATTTACTTTCCCGGGGTTATACGGCCTCAGGACAGAGATCTGATCACAGGACTCCAGTGTACAATGCAACAGGCCTTCCACTAAACCCACACAAGTCACTTCAGTTCTGTGGGCCTCAGTCTCTTACACGCTCTATAAAATGAGGGGGCTGGGCTCCAGGATCGCTGAGGCTCCTTCCAGCTGTAAATCGTCAGTGGATGGAAGGAGGAGGGGGCAGGGAGGTGGGACTTTTCCTCCATAACTCAAAAGGAGGTCAGAGAAAGGAAAGTAAACAAGGGTGGGGGGAAATGAACACCACCACCAAGGCTCAGCTCCCAGAGCTCCCAGGGGTCTCTGCAGAGGCAGAGAAGGGGGGAGGGGGGAATTTCGGTCATGGTCACGTTCATAACAAAACAAACAGATTCCTTCCTTTGGCCTCCCTCCCCCACACCATGGCCTCCTCCTCAAGGAGGCCCCCTAACAGGGGGAACACTTCCTGGGGTAGGGAGTCATGATTTGGGGTTTCCGTCTTCAAATGACACATACACTCCAGTTCCATCTCTCACAATCTCAGTTACACGCCACCACAGACTTTCACAATCTCACACCACACACTCTCCCAATCTCACATACCACACTCACAGTCTCACACTAACACATCCCTTACTCTCAGTCTCACACTTACAGACCACACATTCACATACACCACACACACACACACACCCCAACCATTTTCAATCTCACACACACCTAGCATCTCTCAGTCTCACACACCACACATGCTCCCTCACAATCTCACTTAAACCCGAATCTCACCCAACACAACTTCACAATTATGCACACACATCAGTCTCACCATATCCATTTTCCACCACTTTTATTCTCCTCCACACCCAAATACAAACCAGATATATACACCATACGCTTATAGAGCAGACTGTTTCCTTTTTGCTTTGTAGCTTTTGCCAAGCACATAGTAGGTGCTTAATAAATGCTTGAATACTTGTTAAATTGACTTTTCCTCAAACACCACACACCCCTTCTCTTGCCAGCCTTCACACACACACACTCTCTGTCTCTCTCAGACACACCCCCATATGCACACTCCCATCATAGGCCACACAGACTATGTATAAACCACTCACACTGACACCACACACTCTGTTTCTCTCAGACACACCCCCAAATATATATATGCTCCTGGCTCGGACCACAGAACTATATATAAACCATACCCACTCTGTCTCTCAGACACTATATGTATGTATGTACACACACTGTCTCTTACACACCCCTGTATATACGAACATATATCATATATATGCACTCCCGATACAAACTACACACTCAGCCTATATATAAATCATGCATAATGACACCACAGACACACATAGGGACACACCACACACCACAGGAACCCCCACAGAAACCACACACAGTACACACACATTTCACACATCATGCATTGGCACCGCATAAACGTCACACACACACACACACACACACCCCTCGAGGCACACACATACACAACGGGCGCGCACAAACACAACCACACACTGCTCAACGCACCCCCAAGGAGCCTCCTACCTGAGGCTTGCAAGCCCGGCAGTCAGCGGAGGCAGGATCCTGGGCAGGAAGGAGCCGAAGGTGCGGCTGTCGCCAGACGTGGGCTCGCTCCCGATTGGTGGCAGTGGCAGTGGTAGTTGTGGCGGTGGCGGTGGCAGTGTGCTGTGTAGGGGGGAAGGCGTCTCGGCCAGCCAGATGCTCCCGCCGCTAAGGCAGAGGCTCAGAGGCTGCAGCTCCAACTCCTCCTGCTTACGATCCCCGAAGGGTTCTGGAGCTTGAGGCCCCAGCCCTCCAATCCAATCAGGACAAGGGGAGGGGCCTCAGAGGGGACGAAAGGGTGGGGAGGGGAAGGGAGGAAAGTCGCGCATGCGGACTTGTTCCAAAAGAGATGCTGCTAGGGGACCGAGGGGGCCTCCGGGGTTGGAGCTAGCGAAGTGGGAAAGGGGCGGGAAGGGTCAGGGACTGAGTTAGAAAAAGAAACTTTGTGACCCACGATCCCCTTCCCTCTCTGCCCTCGTTTCTCTCCCAATTACTTACTTCCACGTTTCCCTTTCTCTTCGAGTTTTCTCTTACTCTTTCTCTCTTAAACCTTTCCCCGACTCGGGGCTCGATCAGTCCTCTCCCAGCCCCCCTTCCCCCTCACATCCTAATCCCTATCCCTTTTTACTCCCTCTCCCTCACTTCCTATATCCCTTCTCCCATTTCCCCTCTCTGCTCATCTTCCATCTCATCACTTCCTCTTCCAGTCTCCATCTCTCATCTCCCTGTCTTTTTGGCACTCTCTAGGGCTTCTTCTTCCTCGTCTCTGCCATCTCCCTTACTCTTTCTTCTTCGCCTCCCCCTTCCTTTCTCTCACCTCATCCCCATGATTGCCTAACCCCTTCTCTCCTTGTCTTTCTCTCTCCATCACTCCCTGTTTTGGCATCCCCATTTTCCCAGGCATTCTCATCTCACTTTCGTGCCTTTCTCCCCAGTTATCCACACACAGCCTTGAAAGGATAGAGAAACCAAGAAGGATAGCAGGAAAGAACATTTGGGTCATGGATCCACAGACTCTCACAGTTGGAAGACATGACATATCAGAGAGATTGTCTCTCATTACAAAAAAAAAAAAATCCCTTCTGAAGCATACCTCCAAAGTCGTAATTTCACCTTTGCCTGAAGACCTCTAGTGTGGACAAAACAGTATCATCTTTTGGAAGAAGCGGGTTGAGAGTCAGAAGATCTGGGTTCAGATTTTAGTCCTGCCACATACTACCTTTTACAGGGGTGGGGATGGGCTGGAATGAGGAGAAACTTGAGATGAGCAGACCAACCATGAGGCTATTGCGATTGTCTGGGCATGAGATGATGAGAGCCTGGTACTAGAATAGGGACAGTAGCAGAAGAGAGGAGGGATGTATAAGAAAGATGTTGCAAAGGTGAAATTGATAGGACTTGACAACAGATTGAAGATGGGGGCCGTGAGCCCCAGGGAGGATAGCGGTGCTACAGAAGTTTGGAAAGGAGAAGGGTTCTAGGGGAAAGATAAAGTGTTCAGTTTTAGACAATGCAGAGTTGAACTGGTTCACCAAGGGGTCAAGATGGGGAAGCTAACTTCGATCCAGCAATACCACTAGTAAGTCTGTATCTCAAAGAGATCATAAAAAATGTACAAAATGACCCAAATGTACAAAAATATTTATAGCAGCTCGGTTTTTGGTGGCCAAGAATTGGAAATTGAGGGGATGTCCATCAATTGGGGAATGGCTGAACAAGTTGTGGTATATAAATGCAATGGAATACCATTATGCTATGAGAAATGATGAGGGGAATGGTTTCAGAAAAACCTGGAAAGACTTATGTGAACTGATGCTGAGTGAAGTGAGCAGAACCAGGAGAACATTACACACAGTAATAGCAACATTGTGCAATAATCAACCGTGATAGAGTTAGCTCTTCTCAGCAATACAATGATCTAAGACAATTCCAAAAGACTCATGATGGAAAATGCTATCCACATCCAAAGAAAACTATGGAGTTTGAATGCACGTTGAAGCATACTATTTTCACTCTTTTTTCATTTTTTCTTTTTTGTGGTTTTTCCCTTTTATACTGATTCTTCTTTCACAACATGACTAATGTGATTAATATGATTGTATATGTATAACAAAAAAAAAAAGATGGGGAAGGTAGGAGAATATAGCTAGTATAGAAGTATAGCTTACAAGAGAACTGAGGGAGGGAGGGATTGGAGGACACCGTGAGGACAGACCCATTCTTGGAAGCTTTCTAAGTTTTTGTCTGATGGCCGCCATGTGGTGAAGTAAGAATACTAGACTTGATGTGGCCAAATCACCCTCCTATTCAATAAATTCCAGTGGTTCCCTGGATCAAATATAAAGTCCTCGGGTTGGTGGCCAGAGTGATTTATCATCTGGTCTCTTCCTACCTTTGCAGTCTTCTTACACCTTACTTTTCACTACATACTCTACGATACAATGATGTTCTTCATGAGTGACGCTCCATTTCCTGACTCTGGGCATTTTCATTGGCTGTTCGCCATGCCTAGAGAGCTCTCCCTCCTTGTTTCTGCCTCCTTCCTGGCTTCCTTCAAGTTCCAGCTAAAATCCCACCTTCTACAGAAAGACTTTCCTGATCCCTCTTAATGCTAGTGCCTTCTCTTTGTTGATTATCTCCAATTTATCCTGTATATAGCCTGTTTCCATACAGTTGTTTGCATGTTGCCCCCCCATTAGACTGTGAGCTCCTTGAGGGCAGGGACTGTTTTTTTGCCTTTCTTTGTCTTTCCATTGCTCAGCACAGTGCTTGGTGCCTAGGCCTGTGTGCCAGGCTTATTGACTGACTGACTGCAGGTCCCAGGTCTATCTTAGGCACCGCACCAGGATGCTGATGTTTGCCAAGCACTTTATGTACATTATCTCATAGGATCATGGTTCTAAATCTGGAAGGGACCTCAGAAGCCATCTAGTGAAATCCTTTATTTTATGGATGAGGAAACTGAGGCCCAGGTAGCTTCAGTGACTTGCCCAAGGTTCCACAGAAAGTAAATAAACATCAGAGGCAGGATCTGAACCCGGGTCCTCAGTGCTCTTTCCATTGTACCATACTGCCTTTATTACTATGCATTTCTATAGGCACTAGGGATCCAAAGCAAAAAATAAAAATAAACGTCCCTGACCTCAACTATCTTACCCTGGGAATGGGGAAGAACAGAGAGAACAGGGGTTAAGGTCCCTCTGACAAAGTCTAAGGCACCACCACAGACTTAGTCCCACCAGGTCCAGTGAACAACTTTATGTTGGACAAGTATGATAGTTCAACATTTTCATATGCATTAATTCCATTCATTGGGCCAGGGACCCTGTGGGGATGAGGAAGATCCTGACTTACCAAGAAGTCTCCACTTCATCCTTCTTCCTTTTTGGGGGAGGGCCCAAGTATGAACATCCTCATTAGTACAGATGAAGAAATTGAGTCTCTGGGAGACTCACTGGTCACATAGCTAATGTGCAGCAGAAGCAGGCCTTCTGGCCTCCAGGACCAGCACTCTCTCTGTATTATAAGCCATGCCGCCTCTGAAGGAAACTCCCAGTCTGACTGCAAGTTCCTTACTTCTCTGGATCTGGTCAGTGCTGGCTGATTCTCTTCCTCAGCCTCAAGGCATCATTGCACTTGATGTCAGCTGACCCGGATATGGAGTCCTCCTTCTGCCAACTAGCCTTATGATTTTGGACAAGTGACTTCCCCTTTCAATTAGTCATAGAAGACAGTTAATAATACCTTCCCCTTAGGGTTATTGTAAAGAAGTACATAAATGTAAGCTATCATTATTACAGCTAGATGGAGTGTGGATAGAGCAGCAGGCCTGGAGTCAGGAGGATCTGAGCTCAAATTTGACCTTAGACGTTTATTAGTTGTGTTACCCTGGGCAAGTCACTTAGCTCTGTTTGCCTCAGTTTCCTCATCTGTAAAATGTGCTGGAGAAGGAAATGGCAAACCACTCCAGTATCTCTGCCAAGAAAACACCAAACGGGGTCACAAAGTCAAACACAACTAATTAATGAAAACGACAACAGCAAATCGTTATTAGATTGTAGCTCCTCAGGGCAGAGCAGGGATAAGGTTGTTCTCCCTTTATCCAGTGCTACCATGCTTAACAGAGAAGAGAACCTGTCAGGGGGTGGTAGAGAGAATGGCTTTGCTACTTATCACTGGGTGATCTTGAACAAGTTAGGTTACCACTCTGACCATCAAGGTCCTCCTCTGTAAAATCAGCATATTTGCCCTTCCTCCTTTGAGGGGTTATTTTGAGGTCAAGAAGACATAATTTATGTAAAATGTTTTTTTAAATGTTAGGTCAAGCAATAACAATAACTATTATTGTTGGTTGAGGAAGGAGTTCATGAACTTGAATGAAAAGGAAAGAAGGAATGGTATCTTACAAAGTCTGAAGGCACATCAGCAATCACCTTGATGAAGAGGGACCTGAAAGGGGACCATGATACAAATTCAGTCCATTTCAGTACCAAATGGAAGTAGAAAACATGATGAATTTGGAGTCAGTGAGCTTGGGTTTGAATTTCCCATAGAACGAGCTCATATTTCTATAGAGCTCTAAGGTTTGTAAAATATTTTCTTCAAAACCATCCTGTGAGGACCTTCTGATTGGCAAAGTTGAGAAGAAAGGAAAATTACCAATGTTGCAGGGGCTGTGGGAAAACAGGCATACAAAATGGTGGAACAGTGAATTGATTCAACCATTCAGAAAAACAATTTGAGGGGCAGCTAGGTGGCACAGTAGATAGTGAACTGACCCTGGAGTCAGGAAGACCTGAGTTCAAAAGTGGCCTCAGATACATAACACTTACTAGCTGTGTGACTCTGGGCAAGTCATTTAACCCCAACTGTCTCACCAAAAAAAAGCAATTTGAAACTATGTGCAAAAAAAATTATTAAACTCTGTAAGTAGCCCTTGACCTAGAGATACTACTAGGCCAATGCCCCCCAAAGAAACTGAAAAGTTAGGAAAATGACCCATAAATACATAAAACATTTCTACCAGTTCTTCTTTTGTAGTAGCAAAGAATCAGAGATTGAGGGTAGCCATCAGATGGGGAATGGCTGAGCTCATTTTCCACAGAATTGAAACCAAGGTTTTTTCATGATTTCAAATCAAGAATCTTTTCCCTCTGCCCCACAGTGTACTGAACTGAACTATCGTGAACTAAATTAAACTGAAACAAGCAGGATGAGGGC